AAAATGTTTACATTTTTGGGTTCATCTGTTAGATTGCCCTTGAACAAAAAATATAGACGATATAATTATTTTTGAGAATCAAAAGAAGGTACTGAATGGTTAAATTTTTGTTTAAGAATATTACCGAGCTGTGCGTGCCAATATATTATATTTAAGTTAAATATATTCGAATATATTCGTTAAATATATAGTTAACATACAATTAAATAATATATTTTCAAATATTTCATTTAATTTATGGGTGTGTCTATTGATTTTTTATTTTAATCTTTTTTAATATTTAATATTTATAATATATTTATAATTAATATTTATTAATTTTTTTTTTAATCAACACTCTTGTACATTTATTTGTACTACCTTAACTATTCCAGTTGAGCAGACGATAGTATTCAATTATTTTCCAGAGTATCTAAGAGATCTCGAAAAAAATATTCGGTGGAACCAAAGACGGTATTAAACTATTTCATTTATGTTCGTAAAAGAACAACACAGTAGAAGCTTCTAAAACCTGTAGATAATGTTTGACATATTACAATTGTTCAGGGATATACATTATTAGTTTGGTTTCAGTTACGGAAAAGTATTAAAAAACATACAAAATCGAACTTTGGGACTTAAGCGGCCTCTCGCTCGAGAAAACTCAAAATAGAGTGTAATAATGGAATTATATTTATGCATATATAAAAAGTTGGATTGAATGATTGAATCATTGACAGCTTTTATATCTTCTCAAGTATTTCTCACTCTTCCTTATTATATTCCTGTTCTCCATTTTCTGTTCTCTCATAGTTTTTCAACCCTTCTTTGAGACTCAGTAAATGGCCTCCACTGTCATAGATCTTATTTTGGTGTGTTGCAGGAAATAATCAGCCCATTCTCCAGTTTAATAATTACAAAATTGCAATTACTAGAACAGACTTGTGCTGTGCCCCATTCTATGCGCTGGAAACAATTCCAAGATTTTTCACTATTCACGAAGACATCTTCAAGATACACGCCCACCCGGGACCAACACCAACCATTCGCCAGATACAGATACAGATCCACACGACAACGCAGAAAATGACTGCGACGATGATTATGATGATGACGATGATGGCGATGGCGATGCAGAGGCTGAAAACAGAAACCAGAAGACTAATGAGACTACGACCAGAGGAGCGCAGGGCAGGAGTTGGGGGCCCAACGCCTGCAGTGCAAAACTTTTCCGAAAGTGTCAGAAAATGTGATTGTGATTGGGGCATGGTAGCTGGGTGGTGGAGTGGGTAAACGGCAGTAGCAAACTAGATGAATGATATATCTAGTCGGAGTGATGCATGAGTCGCATTGGGGGTGTCGGTTGGTCGGTGTCGGTGTCAGCCACCCACACGGCTGCTCCTTTGGTGGCTACATGAATTCTGACGCTTCATTCGCCAGGATACACTACCAAAATGGGAGGTGGAAGATGCTGCTGTGGCATCCACATGTAAGTTGAAAAGAAGTGTACGAGACGCAGGCGTGGAGCAGCAGCGAATGAGCATGCGAAAAGCACACAGATACTTATACACACATCTGTACATACACACACGTGGGGTAAGGGAAGCAGGAAAACATATCCAACTCGAATCTTGTCTACAATAAATCAAATTTTATTACCGTTTTCTTTATGCATGCAGGATATATGGGAAGCGTATGGCATGGCTCTACTGATGAGCACACAGAGACACACACACGAAGTATCTCTGAATGCGCACTGAGATTTCTCGATCTAGCTCATTTAGTGTTGGGGGAGAATTCTTTGTCCTTTTGCTGTTTTTGGTTGGCATTCACGGGCTTTTTGTCGTTTTTTGGTGGAATTATAACACAGCTTGACATGGCCACCAAAAGGTCACCATTCTCAGACATTTAAGGTTATCAAAATATGGGGTTTATTTTCTATATATTCTGTATAATCTAACCTGGGAGATATGACCTTGGTTCAACGCATTTCCTCTGGGAATAGCCGAGTGGAAGCTAATACAATCTTTAGCGTTAGTAAAAAAGAACATACCCAGAGGGTTCAAATGGCTTGACACTAATCGAACTTTTTGTTTCCTCAAGGAACCAAACCAACTATTTCTGAAAGATTTAAGGCATTGCAATTTTTGTTTTTTTTTTTTTGTTTTGTGTATGGCAGACCTTTTTTATTTGTTTATTTAAAAAACTGGTATTTTTTGTTAATGCTTTTTCTCTTTTTCTTTACCTAAAAACCACTTAGGTTCAGATGTTGAACTGAGTACCGGGTATACAAGTTGTGACTCGTAAGAAGCGTCGGAAACGTTTCCTTCTGCGCGTTACATACAACCGTTATTCCCCACAAATACAATATACCCTATTTACTCTTCGAGTACCGGGTATAAAAATAAGTAATAAAACTAAAAATTGTCTTAGTGTTTTTAATTTCTCACTGCATATAATTGACATTGCTGATTTCAGTAGGTAGAAAGCACAATGGAGGACTATTTGAAGAATGTATAGCTCTAATTCAAATTGTTCAAAAAATATTAAATATTGACCGATGGGTCTGCCGCATCACGGCACCCTGTAACCGAATCAATAAAGAAAACATTTTCCATATATAAATTCCTTACAAATTAACGCTTCCCCAATTTATCCTTCATCTTGTGATCTTGACATTGTTACTTCTCATATGTTTATTTGAATTTCTTGTTCTTTGGCCTAAAGCCTTTTTGGCCATACTTAAAACACTCCCACCCACACACTCCCCCTCTTCACACTCTCGTGTCTGTGTTGGCTTATCAAAAGAGCAAAAAAGTAAACCGTTATGTGCGATGCATGACACTTTTGAGAATTTATGAGTTTGTATCTCATTAAGCGGTGGCAGCAGCAACAGGGTGGTGGGTCCAGCCCAAAGGTGTCCCATGCACATTCACATACTCAAACACACACAACTTCTTTGGGGGGGCAAGAAAAGCCACGCTCCATTCTACTCCACCGGAAAAACAAGCCATCAATGAAGCTTGAAAGCTTGAAAGCTGAACTGAGAACTGAGGCGGTAGATGGGGCCCAAAACTTGTTTGAAACATTTTCCAAAAATTATCTTTTAACACAAATGTGACACCCAGCACATGCCCCATGTAACACCACACCCCCTGGGGCATATCATACACTCCCGTACATACGAGCATGTGTGTCTGAAAACATAAACGAAGCAAACCCACACACATATCATAAATTTTAAGGGAAAATGAATCCTTTGACAATTGAAGTTTTCGAAGGAGATTTGTCGGTGTTTGGCGTTGGATCGTCATCAAAATCGTTGACTATGAGAGAAAGGGATAGATAGATGTGGGGCCATAGAAAGAGATAGATGGAGTGGGTGGGAAAGCGATGGAGAGTGCGAGAGTGTGTGTGGAACTTCCTATCGGTATCTCTCTCTGGATGCCGTTGTCTTAATCCTTTGTTGGCCATAAATCAGCGAATCGCGTTTACATTTCGCCCATGTTTCTGTTCCTGCAAAACAGACTCCAATCCTCTGTATGGGGGCCACGTGCCCCATATTTCAGGTTTAATTAACTCTGTGTGTTTATTAGCAAATATTAGTTTACAATTTGATATAGCATGTTATTTGGTGAGGGCGGACCAGCGCACACAAGGCACCTCCAGCTCTTAACTGAGTTTTATACTGCAGTTGGGGAGCAATTGAAAAGCGAGATTAGACCGAAAGCCCAGAAGCGTTTGGGCTAATAACAAAATATAGAACATTAGCTTCTAGCTTACTAGAAGAAAATTACAACTATTATATTCCACAATGTTAGTAGATTTTTGTTAAGCATTATTCAATATTTATACCAACAATCAGTGGATTGGTCATTTGTCGAGAAACATGCCATAAATCCTCCTATTATCAACAAATTCAATGGTTTTATGTGTAAAGTTTGACGGCTGCTGAATTGTAATACCCTGTAGTTCTTAAAAAAAGTATTTCTCTTGAAAGTAACAACCCCAAAAATTCACCACTTTATTTTCAATATGAAACGTACATCTTATTATTGAATTCTAATTTTTCCAACTATTTTTTAATTCTTGGAATTCTTTTTGTATGCCGCAGAGTGTGCGCTAATTTTGAAGCAAAGTATTCCATTTTTTGTATTTGTTTTTTAAAATCTAAAATCATGTAAATGTTATTTTGAATGCTGCGCCTTTATTGCATTTATTACATATATCTATATAACTTAAACTTATATTTCTAAAGGATTTGGGGGGATTGTGTGGGTTGTTGGGTTGATGTTACAGGGCAAAAGGTCAGTTAGGGGTTTGGGGGTCATGGCGAAAAGGAAGCGAACGGTTTCGTTTTACAAATAATATCACAAAAACTCAAATACAAGTCGTATACATAAGTGTTTATATCGTATATCCATATCATTTTATCTGTAAACTATTCCTAATGACAAATGTTTGATGTTGTTCATAATGATAATGATGATAGTAATGCTTGAAATGTTTTACATTCTCTGTAAGGATTTTGCGCTGCTCCAACGTTGAGTGGTTCTACTCTTAGGTTGAGTTCTTAGGTTAGATATTCAAGATTGTTCTTGGTTATTGTTTAAGATTGGAGTTGCTGGTATACATGGGTTGCATATAGTGGTATTTAAGTATATGTATATGTACATATATATATATGTACATATAATTTGTATATAATATTAATATAGTTTTTGTAATTGTTAAAATTTTGTTCCGTATACATGCGTTGCTGTTGCTACATTTTGATTTCGACTTACTTCAAGAAGACATAGCTTTTAACATTATCTTCAAGTACAGTTATAGCTTTCCATATTTTTCAAGATAGATTCATTTATATATATTTTTTGTAAATAGTTTTGTATTTTTATGCAAGAAAAGTGCCATTTTCTTATTTACAGTTTTATAGTGAAATGTTTTTTAGTTATATTTTAATCCTTTTCTTTCGTAAATATTTGTTTCGGGTTAACTTAGTTTTTTGGTTTTAATTTAAGTTTTAAGTGTTTTCCAAGAGTTTTACGTATACTGCGTTGCATTTGTTTTTGTAAATTGCTTAAATTGTAATGATTTAATTTGTATAATTATTTTAAAGTTTTTCAATTTTGCTTTTTGGCACGCTTTTGCTTTCTTTTTTAGTTCAAAACAGGGAACGATCTGGCCAAATAGTTCCATCAATCGTTCAAAAATATAATGACGTATTTTTAAGGTGTTCGCTTTTTTTTCTTTCACTCAAATGGCGCATCTCTCATTCGCACTCATGAGTGTTGGGCTGTCCACTCAAAAAACCCGTTCCACTCAATTGTTCTCTCTCTCTCTCTCTCTTTCTCGCTCGCTCGTTCATCCCACCTATTTTGTTGTTTTTTCTGTCTTGCTTTCGCCTCCATCCAATCCAACTTTGACGAACTCGTGTCGTCGCCTTTCGTCAAACGGTTTGCACCAGCACTATGGTTGTCTCTTTTTGGCTCGCATTGCGTCGCCGCCTTCTTTTGGTTGATGGACAGTTCGTCAAAGTGGTGGTAATTGAATTTAGCACGTGCGACTGCGATGGCATGCTTTCTGATTGAGAAACAATAAAATCGGACAAAACACACAGAAGGAGCTGAGAGTGACGTCACTCCTACAAGAGAACCCAAAGAGCACAAAGGGGCTGGCTGGGGAAATGTTATGTTGAGTCAGCAAAAGTAGGGGAAATATTTTGTGCAGAGAGAGAGAGAGAGAGAGGAGAGAACAACGGAGAGCGAGCGAAAGCTTTGCTGAATTCAAGGGAGATAAAGACTTCAACATTTGGGAGCGTAAATTAGCTGCAGATTCTCAATGTTATGCTCCACTCTCTTCCTTCCATTGATCACTGAAATGAAATCAAGTAACAAAAACTGGAGTCGGTTCTCAGCTGATATTTTGTGGGAGGATTTACACTGTGCAACAGACGAATGGTAATGAAAGCAGAGAACAGTTAAAATTAAAAATGTTTTTTGGTAATTAGTTTTACGGCCGCAATAATATATGTTTTATATACATATACAATACAGTAAAAGTTCGCTTGGGCGGACAAAAAAGTACAAATTGCTTGGTAAATTTCTACAGAAGAAATTTCGGAAGTTGAAACAAAATTTGTATTAGTAAAATGTTATACAACTTATCAAGTTAATGGAACAGCTCTTACTAACAAAATCAATCAAAATTTTTAAAGAAAACTAACTAATTGCTCCATTTGAGAATTCAGCTGTGTTCTTGCTGTATTTTTCATAGATTGGGACTAGAAATAGGTTATGGAACTAAATTTAAGTGGATAAAATATGGAAAAAAAAAAAATTAAACAGGGTTTTCGCGGAATAAAATACATTCTAAATGTTCACAATTTGTCGCCACTGGTTGCTTGCTTGCTTAATTTAGTCCTTTAGGCATTCTTCGATGACAGCTGCTTGGCCAATTCGGTGTACTTCAAGAACTTTGACTGCGGACTCTCGTCGTACGGATTGATGGTGGGCGATGGCGCTGGCTGCTGTGCCGCCGCCGCCGCCACTGCCGGACTCCTCGAAGCGGATCGCTTCGGCGAAGCCATGGGTAGGGACTTTGGTGACTGTGCTGCAGCTCCTGGCGACTTCATAGTGGGTGAATCCTCGCCATTGTCCTTGACAAAGTGCACCTTCGAGAGGTGATGGCGATAGGCGCCCTTCGAACCAAACGGCGTATCACAGATCGAGCACTTGATGATAGACCCATCGCCACCAGCACCACTGCTGGCACTCAGCACCGCCTCGTTGCAGGCCCAACTGAAGGCCACCAGATCGTTGCTACCACTGCCCTCGCCTCCAGGTGCAGACCCAGTTGTTGTGGTGGTTGCTGCACTGCGTGTATTGGAGGCTGGTGGATCTGTCGTATCGCAGAGCTTTTGCAGCGCAGCCAAGGGATGTGCCTTTGATTTTTTGGTGGGAATATTGTTCGAATTGTTGTTGTTGTTGTTGTTGTTATAGCAGTGACCTGGAAGGTAAAAAAATGGTTTTAGAAAAGGATTTAACAAGGGAAGATTTAGAAGCATAGATGGATGTGAAAGATCTGTGGTGGCGTAGTGAAGAGTAAGTGTTGAAGGTTAATTTTTTCCTTGAAATTGTTTTGATTAATCTGTAAAATGTTCAAGTCAATTAATCATCATGCATTCGATTAAATGCGATGCATTTTCTCTATAAAAAGAACACAAAACTTTGGGAAATTTTACTTGAAATTGATGGCTGGAGCTAATATAGGAACGGAAAGGCTTTCTATTCCAATCTAAATAAAACGAGAAGGGACGTGTGAGACGCTTTTTACGCGTCACAACTTTTATACCCGGCACTCAGTACTACATCTGCAAATTAGCGGTGTTTTGTCAAATTTTACATTTTTTCTTCATGTGTCATCTACATCTACAACACTTCTCACACCAACACGCTCCGTTAGCTCGCCGCCCTTCCCTAGACCCACACACTGCAGACTCGAGGCAGAGGCAGAGGCACCGTCCGCACACAAAAAAAAAAAAAAAAACCCTCCTCCGGAAGGGGGCGTGGCTCATTTTTTAAATACACTGGTTTCAGTGTGAGCATATATCAGTCTGGATGCAAAGTTTGGTGGCTCTAGCTCTTATAGTCTCTGAGAACGAGCCGACAAACAAGACGGACAGACGGACAGACGGACAGACAGACATGGCTCTATCGACTCGTCTATTGATGCTGATCAAGAATATATAGAGTTTATGGGGTCGGAAACGTTTCCTTCTGTGCGTTACATACAACCGTACTCTTCGAGTACCGGGTATAATTATTACTCCTGTAATTTATACAGCTTTCAACTTAATTTCTTTAATCTAATAACTTTCATGTACTAGTAGATCTAGCAATAATTTCACCTCTATAAATACCCTCCACAGATCATCTCAAGTCATCCCCATCTAGAATAGGTCTATCTTATCTTCACTTACCCGTATTATTATTATTATTATTTGCTTCCACTCCGCTCAGCTGATCAAACATCGAATTCAATGCCAATAAGCTGCCACTATCCGATCCTCCCGTGGCTCCTCCTGCCGTTCCCTGTGGCGATGGCGATTCACTGGTAGATCTGGGACTCTCCCGTAGATTTCCAGCAGCTGAATCCATGCTAAACTCCTTCTTCACATTGATGTGCTGCCGTGGACTGGTATCCGTTTCGCCATGGTCCAGCTGTTCCAAAGGTTCCGCCTTGATTATGGGTGGCGGCGGCGGAGGAGCTACATGGGCTGGTGCTGGTGTGTCCGGTGTCATTCGCGGTGTGGCGTGCTGCCGATCAGGCGTGTAGGCCGACTCCACGCGACTTGCGCTGCTCGATTCGCTAGCACTGCGGTCCCGCGAGGCGTAGGAGGAGCGCAGCAGGTGCATCGCATGGGCATCCATCAGGGGCTTTGTGTAGTCGCTGCTGTCGTCAATGCCCAAACGCTTCAGGATGCTGGCGCCCAGTGGAGTGCCCATATCGGAGTATCCTCCGCCGGGGTGCAGGCCTCGCGATCCCCGCGACTCGAAGCTCTTCTCGATCAGCTGCTCCAAGGCATTCAGCACGGATGGTGGCTTATCGCCCGTCATCCCCGGACTCGGCAGTCGATCCATCGACTCACTCTGACCATGCGGACGCCTGGGCGGTATGGGTATGCTGTCGCCCAGGCACTTGCGTATGTGCTCCACGAACAAGGCCGTCTCGATCTTGCTGCCACATTTTTCGCAGGTGATTTTCGTGGCGGCAGCAAAGTCCCTCAGTGGCTTCAGGGCCGAGTCCAGACTTGAGTTCGAGCCGGAACGCTCCAGCTCTAGGAGTTTCCTCACCGGCAGCGATTTTTTGCGCTTTTCATTGCGCGTTTGACGTCCGCGTTTGGTTGTCCCACCGCTTGCTCCTCCTCCTGAAGCTCCTCCCGTTGTGGCCGGCGGTGCAGGTGGCGATATCGAAGAGGATGAGGACAATGCCGAGCGGGATTCCTTGTAGTGCGACTGCTGGGCCATGTGTGTGCTGAGATCCTTAAGCGTGGAGAATGCCTGATCGCACACCTTGCACGTGAGCACCGCACTGACGCTGGCCGCTGTCGAGCCACTGCTGGCCGCTGGGGGGGGAACTGGACCGCCTACCTCCCTGCCATTGGGCGCTGCATTGGGTCGCTCGCGTTCGTCGCCCGATTTCCAGGAGATGATCTGCTCCTGCGATATGATGTTCGTGTAGTGCTGCGTCTCCTGCATGTGGCTGGTCATCTCGGCCAGCGAACGGAAGCTCTGTCCACACCACATGCACTTGAGGATCTGTCGCGTCTGCTCCGCGCCCTTGCCCAGCCACACGTCCTGGCCGCGAACCAGTTTCCGGGGCAGCGGCATTGTCTCCTTGATGAGCATATTTAGTTCCGATTTGGATGAGTTTGAGCTCGTGGTGGAGGTGCTGCTGCTGCTGGAGCATGCCGATGTCGAGGTGGATGTGGCCACACGGGGCATAGCCTGAGGATGTGCTGGAGCGGCGGAGGAGGATGGTGACGGTATCTGTACACCGCAATGCTGCGTCTCTTTCATGTGGGTCGTGAGGCTGGCCAATGTGGCAAAGCTCTGCTTGCACCACACGCACTTGAACACATCCTTGGCGGCATCGGCACCTTTATTAAGCCAATGCGATTGCCAGGCGCTGTGGCGTCCACCTGCACCATTACCTCCTGCTGCCGTCCCGGATGCTGCCACACTCCTGTGGCTACTGTGGCTGCCACTGCTGCCCACTGGCGGAGGCGTCTCCAGGCGACTCATTTCGCTCATCTTCTCCAGCGCTTTGGTGGCATCACTGGGCGTCATCTTCTTGGCTGCCACTGCCGCCAAGTAGGGATTCAGAGGTGGCACCCAACTGCCCGGCGGTAGCGGCGACTTGTAGTCCGTGGCACGAGGCAGCTTGCGGACAGGTGAGTCCCTCTCCCGCTCCTCCACCGTTGTCTGTCGCTTTCTGGTGCTCACCGACAAATCCAGTGGCCCATTATCGCCCGATTCCGCCTGCTCTGGCTCCGGCTCCTCCTCATCACTGGGCAACGGCTCTTCCTCCTCGCTGAAGGGTCGCTTTCTGCTGAAATCCAGTGCAGGGGCCTCCTCCTCGGCCACCAAGCTGCCGGGTGAACCCATTCCTGCCGCCTGCTGTGTCGCCTGCTGCACTAGAGAGGCCGCTGCTGCCAACGGATTCGTCAGCAGCAGATGATTCTGTTGTGCAGCCGCCAGGTATGCGGCCATAGCTGCCGACTGTGGTGGCAGTAATGCTGCGGCAGCGCCTGGCGCCAGTGTCGCCGTCAGCGGATGCCCCACTGTGGGGGAGGTGGGCGTGTGTTTGGGCGTTGGTGTGGGTGCCGGCGTGAGGCAATCATTGGCGGAGCAGTGCGACTCATTCGACGGACACCTGCCATCGCCTGGTGCCGCTCCAGCAGAAGCATTCGATTCGCGGGAATGACAACGCGGACTGGCCAATTCGCTGGAAAGGAATGAAGGGGGAAAAAGGGTTTAGAAGGGAAGTTCCATAGCAGATTAATGGGAGGAAGGTTCTTTCTTGAACTTAGTGGAAGTGAAGGCAGAAGCCTATTTCCTCATCATATAATCTCTCTAAGGATTCTACTTCTACCTTTTTTAGGTACCTTTTAAGATACTGGCAGATCTGCTAAATACCTTAGAAGTCATCTGAATAAGCTAGATAGAGAATTCAGGATTCTATGACCTTAAGGAGCTCTCACCAATCACATTAGTCACACCATAAAGTAATAACTGTCCTCGAACTGTTCTACGAAAACTTATACTTCTTTGGGACGAACTAAATCTCATTTTCTTTGACAAAAACGAAATCCCTTAGGCACTTTCATATTCTATGAACACAATCCCGATCCGTAGGTTTAACATATTTAATTTCTATAATTTCTAAATCATTTACGAAGTAATTGCAATCAATATCATGATTAAGTAACAACACTCTTGTCTGTCTCCACAGCACCCATGCACATACATATCTACAGCATTAATCAAATATTTATTAATATTTTTCACTTGAAAAACTCGTACTTCACTTCGCTTGTAATTTATAAAGATTAATATTTCAATTTAAAATTATAATTTATAATGATGTAATTTCCCAAACTATCTCGATGAATTATTTTCTAGAACCACATTTGCGACTTTCAGTTATAAAAAATCTATGTTTTTATGTCCTAGAATATACATACAATGTACATATATTGAAGCTTCTCTAATGAAATTCTCTTTTAAGAGGTCAAAGATCACTTGCATTGCTGATGTTCTAGATATTTAATTGTGTGAGTAAGTATTTAAGAACCACTTTTCTACTACTTTTTCCATTGAAGAAAGTTTCTATCACATCACCTCACTTCACATCACAGCCTTATAACACTTCAACCAGTCACTTCCCTTAAAGAAACCTGAAAATAGCAACAAAAAAATACAATTCTTTCGCAATTCACACAAAATATTCCACTTCAATGCTCATCCGTCCACTATTTTCCCAAACCATCAAATAATTATCAAAACCAAAACTCATCTTTGACCCGAAACAACCTTAATATATTTCCAGAAATAAAAAAAAAAACTTTAAGCTTCTCCACGCACAAACATTCAGGCCACAAGCCCTGCTGCCACATTTCACGAACATAAGAGAGGTGGGGGTAGGGAGGGGAAACACTCACCTCGCACTTAGTGCCTGGCGATAGATCTCCAGCATGACAGCCTCGTGCAGCATCATATTGTGGCAGAAATTGTTTATATTTTTTTAGGGGGTTCCCTTTTCTTCGTTTAAATATTACCTATTTATTTAATTATTGAACTATGTGAGATTACATTACTGTTGTTTGGTATTTAATTTCTTCGCTGCCATTGAAGTGATTGGCGCTAGGTTCTGTTCGTTTTTTTTGTTGTTTTTGGATTTGTTTAGTGTCACACTTTTTCGAAAAAACATACATGTGTGCATATGCGAAAAACGCGTTGGATTTTTATTTTTGTTCGTCACAAGAAATTAAAAATTCTTAAGCACAGAGTGTGGGGTGGGAGAGGCTACACAGCTGCAGAGCTCCTCCTCACGCGTATATGTGGCTTAGAGTGTGTGTGTGAACGTGTCAGTTTCGTGTTGAGCTTCTATCAAAAACACACACACGTCAAATAAATCAAATGTCACAATGGCAAGGGCCAGGAGCAACGGGCACGGGACCACTGCAGCGGAAGGGGAACTGGCACGGGACGGAGACTAACGACAACGACTGATGACGAACGCGTATCAATGTGTGCGTTTCTCTGTGTGTGTTTTGTGTTGTTGTAGTTGTTGTTGGTGAGGTCAAACTGCCGCCAATTCCAAGCAGAAGCAGGGACAGAGCAGCACTTCCTTCTTCTCGTCCATCCATACACCAAAAGCAGCAACAACAGCAAACAGCTGTGTGTGTTCGGGCTATTAATTTAATGTTTATTAATATTATTTATTTCATTTTCTGGCACGATTTTTATACGATTCTTTATTCGTTTGCTTTGGCGACTAGAATTCAGTTCTGGTTTCGTTGTTGCTCGTTGGTTATTTTGTTTGCTGATTGACGGACAAGCGCCCTCCTCGTTCTTGCAATTTGTGTGTCTAGCACCGCGACTACCGTTACAAGCGCCACTCTAACTGTAATTGTCGCCACCGCTGTGATTTCGAGCGATTAAAAACGCTACAAGCTACAATCAGCAGCGACATGATGTCTACGCTCAGCCGAACGAAAAGAGACAGACGTCTCTCGTTGTCGACGTGGAGCTGACAGCAGCACTAGCAGAAAGCAGCGGCAGCAACGGCCGACAGCGGCGGCTGAGCGTCACAGCGAGAGAGCAATCAAACTGAAAGCGTGAGAGAGCGAGAGCCATTTAAATTGATATATTGAGAGAGCAGAATGATAAAACGCATGCGCTGTCTGTTTGGCAGCAGCTGCTGCTGCAATGGTTCGGTGTAGAAGAAGAACGCTGTTATAGCGCGGAGCGGGGAACGGAATAAACAGCACTGTTATGGCTGTGGAGAGCAAACGATAAAACCTCCTCACCTGTCTGTGAGCAAAGTTCTGTGAGAGAGCATAAGGCCATGAAGAAACTGTAATTTCTTTATGCATGAGGCAAATAACTGCAATGGGCCGCTGAGAGCCGTAATTCTCTCTACAGAGAGAACTTTGGCAGAGAGAGCGAGAGCGATGTGTGACAGGTGTTTGTGTGTGTGGGGGCCGGTCTGGCTGCTGTCTGTGGCTGTCTCTCTCACTGTATGGGTGTTGGAGTTGTGTTTGTATTGCAGCTGGTCAAAACGATTGCCTCGCGGGTGGCGAGGAAATGGAGACTACGCTGACGGCGCTGCTCGCGTCTCTGTCGCTTAAATCAAGGTTATTTATTGAAATTGAAAATGAATCAATGCAATGGCAGGAAGGTGGGGGGGTGGTGATGTTGGGCAGGACTAGGGTTGGAAAGTCAGGTAGTCGCACGCATTGCTAAATTTTAAAAAGTTACCACATCACGATAAGGTGAATTAATGCCATTATTTTGCATTTGACTAAAAGTTTTCTACTCCCTTTCTCTCTCCACCACAAAATAAGTGAGAAAGGGGAGAGAACAATTGTTGCATGCAGGAGAATAAGAGGAATGTGTGTCATGTTAGAGAATGGGATATTTTTGAGTAAGGAAATATGTACAACATACATGCAAACTGGTCGGAATTGAAACAGGTGTGGGAAAGAGATTACGGGCAGCTTAAACGTTACTTTTAGGAGGTTTTACTCTGAAATGGACGTTTTCTTTTCGAAGTGGTTCAATATTTACCCTCTTCTCTTCATTCTTTCCATTCCCTCTGTTTCTTTTCATACGATTTTCTTATCCTTTTCGCCTACTGTAATTATTTTCCAATATTTGTGCGCAGACAGCCATTACGCATCTTTATTAGTTTCAGTTTCGTCTTCAGACCGTTTCATAAGTATCAAGACGGTGGAAAAAATAAGAGAGAAAAGCTTTTTATGGAGAACGAAGTTTCTGGTACGCTTAAGGATCTATGTATATCCTGGGTAGATGAATATGTATCTGTTTATGTACATATGTATGTAGGATATAGTCACTAATTTTGGCGGAAACCATATTTTCACATTAACGAATTTTCCAGCATAAGGTATACTGAATTAGATATGAATATTCAGCTATGTATACATATGTATGTAAATACTCTTTCTGAAGGGTATACAAAATAATTCTTAGGCAACCATCCGTTGTCTGACTTTCTTTCCTGTTCCAGTCTCATTGTTCCATTAATTATGAATAACAAGAGTGAAATAACCTTAAAAAGAGTATAAAATATAATAATGCATCCGTACTCGTTCTCTCTATTTCGTGTTCCCTTTTCATTATTCAACTAAACCATAGCCCTAAAAAAGGTTAAGTATACGCAGGGTTACATTTTATGTGTGAAACAGGATTCCTCGCAAGGATTTCCTTTGGCTTGCATTGCAATCCATATTAACTCCCCAAAACTCCCCCCATATTGCAGCCCTTTAATTTAATGCGTTCTACTTTTTCGCTTGGGGACTTAAAGCCACCCCACCCCATAGCTACCGCTCGCTTACCCCTCTCATAAGACTACTCGACAAAATCGAATATTTTTCCCGCTTCGAACCAAACCGATTTTTTCTGATAGACTGGCTGCTTTTCATTTTTTTAAAGAAGTATGGTTTTTTTATGGCAGAACTCTTTTTTTAAAGAATTTTTAAAGTCTGGTATTTTTTGTAATGTATAATGTATACCCTCTCGTTGGGGTTGAACAATTTTAGCTCAGCCGTCTCTCAATAGATTTTGAAGAGCAATACCTTAAACGACTCCCAATTATTGCACCTATTCATACAAAAATAGTGGACACATGATTGATTTTTTTTTTCGACTTTTCGCGAGTTATTGAATTCAATAATTCGTAAAAAATACCTCACCAAAATACACATTTTTTCATATCCAAGCTTAATATTTCACAAATGATAAGCTAAACCCACAAAGTGTTTGGGTACACTTTGTAGATGCGTTCATCAGCTTAATAAAATGACTAAGTTTATTACAACCAGATTTAAGACTTTAGTTGAGTGAAAAAAGAAGCACTATCTCTAAAAAAAGTGATAAAAAAAAACGGATTTTTTATATTGTATTAAAAAAGTCCTGCCATAGAAACAACAAATATTTGTATCAAACCACTTCTAAGCCCCATATCTTTCATAAAAAGTTGGTCTGGATCGAAGCGGCAAAATCGTGTCGAGTAGTGTAATCATACACTTTTTGACCATCAATAGAATATGTACAGATATATGACTCAAATCGCATTGACAGGAGCTCGAATATCTCGACACCTGACAATTGTGGCCAAAATACAGCGCCAACTGCTGTCACCCATCAAAACTTGGACAAGCTCTGCGAGTTTCTCTGTGTGAGTGCTTTTCACCCGGTACTCGAAGAGTAAATAGGGTATATGTTTGTATATATTTGTGCGAAATAACGGATGTATGTAACGCACAGAAGGGAACGTTTTCGACCCCATAAAGTATATATTTTCTTGATCAGCATCAATAGACGAGTCGATTGAGCCATGTTTGTCTGTCCGTCCGTCTTGTTGAGCGCCGGGTTCTCAGAGACTATAATAGCTAGAGCCACCAAATTTTGCATCCAGATGGCTGTATGCTCACACTGTTACAAGTGTAGTTCAAAATTGAGCCCCGCCCCCTTCCGACCCCACATCCTCAATTTTGAAGGTAAAAGAAAACTACCCATTTCGTAGGGAAGGACTATATGTATCAGATCGGCGAATTGGGATCAGATTGGATCATTATTATAGCCAGAATGAAGAAATTAATTTGCAGTGCCTGCGCCCGTGTTGGTGTGAGAAGTGTTGAAGATGTAGATGGCATACATATGAAGAACAAATTTACAATTAAAAAAAAAAAACCGGTAAGGTACAGATGTAGTACTGAGTACCGGGTATAAAAGTTGTGACGCGTAAGAAGCGTCTGAAACGTCCGTTCTCGTTTTTATTGGTTTCCTTTTTTGTACTATTGTGGTCTAGAAAAGTGACAACGAAATGCAAACCCCACTTTTGGAAGTTGCAACAATGTTGCAAAAGATGCAAATGGAGAGTTGAAGGATGGAGAATCGCAGATGCATTGAATGAAATCAGTGTGGGTTTTTCTTCAATTTAAACTCAATTAATTTATGTGTTTACATTAATTTTATGGCTTCTTTCTCCCAAAACATTCCTTTAAGTGAACCCACATCCTAATGAAAACCTCCCTTTATATTGAAATTCCCCTTTATTCCAACATAAAAACTCCTACTCTCTCTTCGCCCTCTCCGAAATTCCTTGCACTTCACTCACGAGTTTGCTGCAACACTGCAGACGGCCGACCATCCACTGGAAGCTGCCAATTCGCTGCCACAAAATGTCATGTATCGCGTCCGTTTTTTCTATTGCAATAGAAGAGGGGAAAAAAAGAATTGGTCGATCCGCGCTCCCATCATTGTGTAGCGTGTTTGTTGTTGTTGTTTAGGGAGCGGTTAACGTCTACAAATCGAATTGACACATGGATTTTTATCACAAGTTGCAAATTCCCAGCGACCCGTCCCGGCCTCCTCGTCCTCCCCCGACTTGCACCGTTATGGCATTGCCATCTCCAGTCCATCTGTCAAAAAATGCAGAATGCAAAAATATCCCCCAACACCTATCTACCCATCCAGGCAGCGCCTGGTGACGGACATCCAGACGACAACGAGAACCGGAACGACCAAAGCGACGCCACCATAAAAATCCAGGCGCCAGTTGTTCCTCTGTCACCCGCTGACTCTTTATCATCTGCACCACAGCTCTCTCTTTCTCCTGCCCCATGCCCCTTTATAAATTTAGACGCAGATATTATACAACTTTCAGATACATTCTGCATATGGACAACATTTTGAATGGCACGTGAAAGGAGAAGCAAAGAGAAGTAACAGTGGGAGTTGGAGTCAAAAGCTAAATATAATCTATCCAACAATTTACACACACAAACGCATGCAGAAACACAAACAATTATTGTTTTTGGCAATTGTTTATGAGTTGTGGTTAAAAGTATCTGTCAGAATTTTATGTAAATTTTTGTGGACAGCCGCGGGTTGTTTTTGTACCATACAAATGTTCTACTTCCACTCCTACTTTTCAATGGAGATTGCAATTAATTCTGTTACAGATGGCTTACCATGTTGATGTAAGGAAGGTTTGCATTCCCCACGTGTCATCTACTCTGTGAAAGATCAACAGTGCACGATTTGTGTGTGCTACTTTGAGATACATTTAAGGTTATGTTTTTGTATTTGTATATTTATGTTAAAATATTTATTCATACGCTCAGGTATATTTTTTATTAGTACGGAACAACTTTAAAGTATTCTTCAAATAATTGTTAGTAATTGTTTATATATTTTCTAAGATTTCTTGTGACATTTTAAACTATTTTCTGGATGAAAAGTTTTCAGGATATTTCTAAGATTTTTACTAATTTAAACATATACAACATACTTCGAAAATGTTCAAAGATGAATAAATATTCTTCCAGGAATTATTTTTAGAATTTATTTATTGGTTATGTTTTGTTTCTTCTCTCTTTTTTATTGAATTATATTTCTTTTTGTTTTTCTTTATTCCGTTATTTTATCGAAAAAATGCCCATTAAACATCCATGAAAACTTCATTTAAGATAGACAATACTACTCCCAGAAAA